ATTCAAGGAATAAAGAAAAAACAAAAATCAAAGAATGGTCCCCCGCGGTGTCTTTTTACAAATTTTTTATGACAATTTGTGTTAATGTGAAAAGTCATCTATTTAGAAATTATCGCTGAACTCTAAGGTCAAGGTCAAAAGGTTAACGTTCTTGGGATCCGATGAAAAGTCTTCTCAAAAGAATTACATTTGTGAAGTATGAAAACTCTAGCCCTTACCATTCAAATGTTATGGTTAAGGTTAAAGTTTTCTCATAAGTACAAGAAATCTCCAAGGTCAAGATCAAAAAGTCAAGGTTGTTGGTATCAAATGAAAGGTCTCGCCACAAAAAATACATAAGTGAAATATGAAATATTCTAAAGTTGTGGCCAAGGTAAAAGTTTTTTGAAAAGTAGGTCAAACTCCAAGGTCAAGGTCCAAGGGGCAAAGTTCTAGGTATTCGTTGAAATCACAAGAATTATATATATTTTTTTTCAAAAGATATGGTCAAAATTAAAGTTTTCTTCATAGTACGGAAATCTCCAAGTTCAAGGTCAAAAGGTCAAAGTTGTTGGTATCCAATAAAGGGTCTTGCTACAAAGTATATATATATGAAACATGAAAGTCCTAGTACCTACCGTTCAAAAGTTAGGGCCAAAATAAAATTTTGGAATTTTTGTGTAAAAGTGGGTCAAACTCCAAGGTCAACGTCAAAATGTCAAAGTTGGTGGTACCCAATGAAAAGTCTTGTCACAAGGAATACACATATATGAAAGTCATAGCTCCACTAAATTTAAAGTTATGTGCAAGGTTAAAGTTTTTGTGACGGACGGAGAACGGAGAGAGGGACAGACGGACAGACGAATAAGATTTAATGTCCCCTCGCTTTCGCGAAAGCGGGGGACAATAATGTGTTACAAATTATTTCCTTGTTTTTGAAAAGTTGATGGATGAAGAAATATAGTAGTTTCCGAAAAAAGAAAAAAAAAACACGCGAATTTAGAGACTGATCATATGAATATTCTAAATTGCGGATCAGCAGCAAAATGATTTTTAACATTTTTTTTTAAATCAAATTATAAAATTATTACATATATTATAATTTTTAGTGAAGATATTACATTGGTAATATATGCCTTTCCGGGTTTATTTTACACCAGAAAGATAAAAAACATCCAATATACCACGTCTTTGAAGCAACACACATTTGCCAAAAGTTGAATTTTTAACCATTACAAGAGCTAAATTAAACTTTGGAAAAATAATGTGCATGTACACATAATATATTTTCTTTTAAAGAGCATTAAACTTTGGAAAAATAAACGCATGCATGTATAAAAAAAATCAAAGTGCGTGAAAATTTGGAAAAAAAATCAACGCACTAACCTTTTATTTTTGTTCATATCTGAATGTAACTACCTTAACCAAAAAGAGTAAAGGGTTAAGAATATTGATACTAGCATCAAGTTCCGTCAGTCTTTGACGCTGAATGGTGTGCCTGTGTTTGTGCGCGGGAGGGTGTGTGGGGGGGGGGGGGGGCATGCGTCTCCAAACTCAGTTCAGTGTACACACCTTGTAGAAATGTACATGTATCTCTTATTTTGGAATAATTCGATAAAAGACATCTCTACATTGTCTGTTACTGAATGTTGACATTTTAAGAATGCTTCTTTATTTGGATAGTACTCACTAGGTGTATATAGTTACACAGTTGTATATGTCTCTTAAACGTTTGTTCACATTTGCATATAATGATTGTACACATAGTAAAAAAGAGGTGCACTTAGTATTTGGGATTGTGATACAAATAGATAGTCTTTATTGAGTTGCTGGACTTTTGTCATTCTTCTTGATATATATAATACTAGTTTTATGTAGACAGTAAAATTTTGAGTAATCTATAACTTTTGTTCATTCACTTTATAACAATCAACAGCCTGTTATTCAAAAATAAAAGGCTGATTTTTTAACAGATGAATTGTTTTTCTTTCCCGCTTGGCCTATAGATACGAAAAATATTATACATCTAATGGCTAATCAGTGAATAAACATCATAATTGTCCAAAGGTAAATAGCATACGTTAAGTAAAGAAATAAATGTATTGGAAATATAAGTACACAATCCTTGATGTTACTACTGTTAAAAACACTTAATTAAGAAGTTGTGTTTTTTTAAGTATTATTTTTCTTTTAAGGGATTAATCATGACTGTTGGAGCAACATGCTGTATTATTGTTTTTGTAGACAAAACATAATTTCAAACACATTTTGTAGACATCTTAAAATGTATGTTCTACCTATATTAACAACACACCCCCTTTGATCCCCTCCCCATACGTTAAATACACACTTAGGTACATAATATGAATTTGGCAGCTGTAGAAGTGAAGAGGGATATGCACAAGTGAGTCAGTAAAGGATATCCTGAATTAGGTCTCCACCAGATGACAAGGCCAAAATCCTTATCAGCTGCCTTGATTGTTGTCCATGAGTGATTAAAAATTTCTTGTTGATCTGTAAATGTATAGGTAAATCAGAACTTTTCATAGACATGCATATAATTCACATTAATTAAGAGCTCACCTTGGATAGGCAAATAAGAAAGAATTGCAATCTAGACATTACAGTACAAATTATAATGTTAGTCTTACATTTTCATTTTACCCACAAAATATACAGAAATTATTTGCTTTTAAATAGGGATGCTGATGTTAAGCTACTCTTTTGTATGCACATTCATCTAATGAATTAAGTTTGTCAGTGTAATATCTGTATATATTAACTTTTTTGGAGAATTATAAATTTATTTTGTTAATTTTTTTTTTCATGAAATACACATACCCGAGCTCTTCCCCACCTTTAAGATATGACTGTGTTTTGTCTTTGAATTGAACAAAACTTTACCCTGCATACAGCAGTCCTTCCCTAAATACATGCCACATTCAAATTACTAAAAGTAAGTGCTTTTAAGTGTTTCTCCAAGAAATTGATTTGATTTCTTCAGTAATTTTTCATGTTTTTGTGCTACAAAATAATTTTTTCTTTTCTGTACTTTATACATTTTGTCTATTCATTACTTTACTTGAACTGGATCATGTTTTCCTGTATTTGAACCAACATTAATTGTCCTTGTCTGAGAGCTATATGTCACACCCTGTGACCATACTGTAACTATAAATATTATACTTCCAGTTGAATCTGATTCATCAAGAAATATTTGTTAACAAGAGGCCCATGGGCCTTATAGGTCACTTGAGCATCATGCAACAAATAATAATCAGTAGTGCCCCCACCCCACAAAAACCCCTGACCAGACCTTAGGCCCACACATTTCACAATTTTGGAAAAGGTACCATTGCTCATCATAAATGCTTGAGTAATATACTAGTAATGGAGCAGATTTCAAAGAATTAATTCATTTTCAGTATTAAAAATTCCCCTCCTTCCCCATCCTCTATGATACCCCTGATCCAGGGGCCTTGAAATTCACAATTCTGGAAGAATGATCCATGCTCAGCATAACTATGTATGTACTATGTAGTTAGTTTGTTTAATACCCAGGAACAGAGAAGATTTTCAAAGAATTATTGCATTTTCACTATTTAATCAACATAGCCCCACCCTAAGTAACACCAGAACCCCTGACCCAGGGGCCATGAAATTCACAATTTAAAAGAAGAAGCACCCTTCCTCATAATAACTATGTATATAGTAAGTTTGTTTAACACTCAGGAGGGGAGAAGATTTTCAAAGAATTATTGCATTTTCACTTTATAATCAATACAGCCCCACCCTAAGTAACACCAGAACCCCTGACCCTGGGTCCATGAAATTCATAATTTAAGAAGCACCTCATAATAACTATGTATGTAGTAAGTTTACCACTCAGGAGCGGAGAAGAAGATTTTCAAAGAATCAATTATTTTTACTGTATAATCAAAGGGCCATACCCTAACACAAGAACCTCTGACTCTGGGGCCATGAAATTCACAATTTTAGAAGAGGCACCCTTCATCATAACTATGTTTGTAGTTATTATGTTTAATACCGAGGAGCAGAGAAGTAGATTTTTAATGAATTAATGCATGTTCACTATATATTCAAATAAGCCCCGCCCTAACACCAGAACCCCTGACCCTTTTGGTAGCTAGAAGACTCAATGCTTATTACAATCATGCCAACAGTTTGACTGCTTGATGTCCAGGAGTAAAGAAGATTTTCAAAGATTGCATTAATTTTAGTGGTTTTGGCCCCACTCCTCAGACCCAAGAGGGACAGGGGCCATGAAATTCATAATTTTTGTTTCTCTACACTCATAGAGGTAATTTATGCCAAAATTGGTTGAAATTGGCTCAGAGGTTCCAGATAAGAAACTGAAAATGTTAAAAATTTTACAACTGATTGACAACGATCGTCGTACGGCGACAGATGAAAACAGTTAGCAATAGGTCACTTGAGTGACTCAGGTGACCTTAAAATTAACACTACTGCCCGCTTAATGATGAGATGAAGAGACTACTGTAGATTCCTAATTATACGCGAGGAAATTAAAACGTATTTTCGCGACAAGCATCGCTCACGAAAAAAATATTACTCGTTTTTATTTTTATGGTGCCGAAATCTATGTAAATTCTGTTGATCAACCGTCCATTCGTGAATTATAATTCTCGCGTTTTGACGTTAAAGAGCCAGTTCGTGGAAAAAAACACTCACGAAAAATAAGGAATTTACAGTATGCAGAATTTATGCACACATGGTCTAGTGTTAAATTGTATTTGCTGCGCCTTGGATGACGATGGTTTTTTTTTGAGGGGGGGTGAAAATTTTCAATACTACCCTCAACTACATCCTGTATATATATGATATAACCTAAATGTTGTTCAAATTATTTAATCCCCATATAAAGGTATGATCAAAACATGTCAAACTTATGGCAAAAGGTCAAGGCCTGCCAGTGCAAGAACTCACAGGTCACCTGAATGACTCCTCAGAGGTATTTTAACAGACAAGTTGATGCATAGTAACTGTATAATTCTTTTTTATTTCTTATCTGTCCGTGTTTTTACAAAAATATCTGCAATTTATAAAACAATATTCATATACCTTTAAATCAAATGGACATTCTCAAAATGCATATAAAATGAAACTGCATAAAACAGTAAGAAAAATAAACATAGCACCAAACAATATATATATATCACTTAAATTGGTTATGAACTGAAAAGCAGGCAAAAAAAAAATGCATATAAAATATACCTCCACATGACATGAATATTTCCTAAATATTAATATAGCATCCTGATAAACTTTTGTTTCGCATTTTTAAACCTCTCTAAACATAACTTTGTTGGTAAAATTAACACATAAATAACATAATACAAATTGCATACACTTGAAGCACTTAACATCAAGACCATTGATTGAAGCTATGATATAACTGGAATGTTCTGAAGTGCTTTAGGTCAGGGTTGTTCAAATTCCATTTTCTTCAGTTAACATGAAAAAAGTGGTTTAGAAGAGCTAATGGTTAAAGACTCACAAATTTACTATTATTTTTGTCCCAGATCCTTATAATCTCCAAATTAATTAAATTCACATTTAATTTAATACATTCTGAAATTTTCATCTAATAAATACAAAATACAAGTTAAAGCATATATATTTTGAAGTACTTGGTTATAGTTAAACTGTTTAAAATAAAAAAAAAAAGGGATAATTGATACTACTTTTTATTACAGAAAAATGTCGATTAAAAGAAATAAATAGCCCCTTATCATTAAATAATCCTGTCTACCATTCAAGTATAACTAACATATAACGAAAAACATCTCACACTGCATAAATTAGATTTTGTTTAAAAATAAAAATAGAAGTTGCAATTTAAACAACTCAAAGTCCTCGTTTAAAGGTCAATGTAAATCTGCAAATCAAAGATTACAAAGCTCCCAAAAGACAATATCTAAAAGCAAAGGTTTTAAAAATTTAAAACATAAAGATATAATTGAAGCTAAAGCATCAAAAGCAAGTCTGTATTGTGCATCCTATGATCAACATCCATGCAAGTTGGTCCAGGAAGAGTATACATGTATATATTACTTATGGATTGGCTTGCCTTTAAAATCTTAACTGGGATGCTACGTGTATAGCATAAACATACCAGTTAACATGATACATAAAAGTACTGGTATGCTATGTAGTATCACATTTTTATTTTTCAAACTGTACAAAATGCAAAACAAATGGAATGACTTTACAATTTGGCAAGATACGAAAAATTAAAATGATTTTGGTTAATTTCTATGTATGGTAAATATAAATAAATCTCTGAATGTATGGTTCATTTTCACGTAAGACAACCAGAAGTCTCTGTCAAGACTGTAGCTCTACTGGTTTTTATTTATAACAAATGAGGAAAAAGTGTAGCAGTTGGACTTGAAACTTTGCAACAGCAATAAATAGAATAATGATCCTTGATTTAGTCCTTTTTTGTAGAAATTAAGATCAGATTAAAACTGTAAGAGGAATAACCTTTTAAAAGAAATTTACAGAAATTTCTATTTTTAGCTAGCAAATCCATTCAAGGAAATCAAAAACTGATAAAAAGTATAATGTATCTTTGTAAAGACTACTTGTGTGCCAAGTTATATTGAAATCAAACTAAATCTGTAGGAGGAGTAGCATTTTGAAAATGTTAACAGACAACAGACACCTTGCTCTCACATATACACTTTTCTCTAACCAGTAGAGCTAAAAACATTTTCCATCTTTGAGAAACTTTATATCGGTGTAAAGGTGTTTCCTAAAAATGCAATATCACCTTTATCAAGCTCTTTGTTGCACAAAGATTAAGAGGAAACATTTGCATCACAACATGTGGTATTAGGTTCTTCACCATTTGTAGTATTGCACTGCAAGACTTGATCCCACTCACTGTCAATATCAGTGTTACTGGGTAAAGTCCAGTGGTTTGGCAGAGAGAGTTTGGTATCCCCAAATGTACTGGAAATTTCCACATCACTTGTACATTCCTGGAAATTAAGTCTGTCCAAAATGGAGGAGACATCAGCAGAGGCATCAATGTCACTCAAGGACTCTTCAGCGTTTGAAGAAGTCACAGACAACAAGTCGGAGGATTTAGACACAGAATTTTCACTATAACTTCTGTCTCTTCCAAATTCGTGTTTGGTTTTTTCTACGATATTTTCAATCACAAATTTTTTAGTCTGTGAGAGTTCATGAGATGTGTCTTTGTTTTGTTCAGTGATAGTATCCAATGATAATCTAGATTTGTTTTCGAACTGTGCAGAGTTCTTGGGAGCTCTTCCTTCTCTGACGGCATAATAAAATTCTATAGGGTCTCCCTGTAATTCTGGGGGTAATGGCCCACCATGCTCCAAATGAACCAGAAGACTCTCTGTCCAGATGCTTACTCTATCAAAGCTAGGTCTGTAAGTATATTCATGTTAAATTCATTCAATGTAAAAACTTCCAGTACACAACAAAATTTAGAGAAAAAAATAACACTGGAATTGTTGAAAGACTTCAGAATTTCATATTAGAGAGTTTCTATAAATTATTTACCTGTTTTCAGGAATTATTTGACAGCACATTGTGGCAATTTTAAAGAATGATAAAGGAAAATCTTTTTCTGAGCAAAATTTTTGGAAGAATTTTGTGACATCCAATTCAAATGTTATTGTTCTGGGTAAAATGTCAGGATCTGCTTCAACTCTGGCAAGAATCTACAAAACATAAAACAAAAACTGAACTAAAACTAAACTAGATGTGTTGTGTAT